CAATTTATACATTAATTTCCAAATAACTGAGACTGTGAAACGATTTTATTGTACTGTTTAAATACTTATTTATTTTAAGAAAAGATATACTTTAAAGAATTGAAAATTTGAATTAAGTATTATTTGAAAGGTTAAACGGCTAACACGTCCACGTGCACACCTAACCTCAAAACGTCTTAAAACCTTTCACGTAGATTTTCGAATTAATTCGTTAGTAACAATGTAAATACAATCTATTACCTTTACCTAATCTTAAAAATATCTCATTTATGACTGAAACTAAGAAATAACTATAGTAGTAAAATTATTAAACGAATGAAACTTACTTGAAAGTCCTGCTTCCAAACTCGTATTGTTGTTGTTGTCGCCGCTGTTCACTTCTGCTTTATATTTATTCCTTTCAAATTCGTCCATATCATAGAATAATAAACTTTTACAACAATTAAAGTCACGTAAAATATTCACATCAAATAACGGCCGAAACTGAATCAAGGAAACTGTACTGCTATACACTAACGATGGCGCAGGCGCGCCCCAAAGTTTCGAATGTCCCTAAACTGTTTGGGAATGGATCTCAGTACTCTTGCACTAAACGGTACATTTCAAGTGACAGTTTATACACAGATTGTAATTATTGAATAGCTGAGTTAAAATCAATGTAAAACTAATAATTATACTTAATTCTTTGCACATTTGAATTTATTGCTTTTTTGATGTTATTGAAATGTACACAATTAAAGCATCTGTCAATACGAAATTTAGTTAAAATCACATTGAACAATAGAACACCATCATAAAATGTTATTTAATAATAATTCCTTTACAAATTAAAATAAATCAAGGAATCTAAAAGTACTCACACAAAAAAGAATATTAGCGTTTGCTAAAATATCTAGAACTGATTTTAATTGAAAATCATTCCTAAACATTTTGGGATTGAAATCTAAAATTTAATATTCCTCCCTACGATAATAGAAATTACTCAAATGATTTTATATTCAGTCCGAAATCTGAATTTTCATTTTTCTCCGTGTAGTTTATATAAATAATACATTTTTTATAAATTATAATTATTTTAAAATGCAGCAGCTATTAGGAAATAGCATTCTGAAAAAATACTATCATTAAAAAATTAATAATAGGCGAAGGATATCCGCGTCATTAAATAGATTCACAGATATACTCTGGTCTCGCGACGAATCTCTCGATACTTATACACTGGAGTCGGCGTGCCAGTTGCGAGAACGGTTACAGCGTCCCTCTTGCGGCAGAGATTAGAATTATCATGTAAACTGCCGCAAGAGGGACGCTCTAACTTTTCTCGCAACTAACACGGTGACTCAAGTGTATAAGTATCGAGAGATTTGTCGCGAGAGCAGAGTATATCTGTGAATCTATTTAATGACGCGGATATCTCTTGCTTATCATTGATTTTTCAATGATAGAATTTTTTGCAGAATGCTATTTCCTAATAGCTGCTGCATTTTAAAAGCAATTATAATTTATAAATAATACCAACAGATTAGCTCAGTCGGATAGATGCCTCGCTTGGCGGTCGTTTAAGGACCAAGGGTACGTACCCTTGGTTCGCGCCCATTTGGCTTGGTATTTTTCCGGCACGAGAGGCAATCTGAGCGGGAGGTTTGACGTCGAGGTATAATGATGTGCACCGTCGATTATTGTCCGGTACACACCATTAGAACTCGACTGTCGATAAACCGGTTGTACTCAGGAGAGGTTTTCTACAGTTTCTCTCTCCACTGACGAGAAAACCTATTAGACGGGTGGTCCAGGCAAATGCGAGTACTCCTAATTTTCAAGTCGCTCTGTAGGCGCAAAATTTAGTATTTAAGTTTGTCAGGGAAAATTTGTAAGATAAATTTACGAAAACGTAAAAACACTTGTTTAGCCAAGTATGTAAGGCTGAAGACAGGTGTTGGGGAGAGTGGGGCAAGACGGGGTACTTAAGGTTTAAAGCGCAAAAAAACGAAAATTATCGAATACCTATATACTTTATAATTATTTTTAAATATCATCTTTGGGAATCAGTTTTTCGTAAAGAAGGCGTACAAAGGCCATCTGTTTCTTAAAAAAGCTTATAATTAATAATATTGAAAAAATTGCAAATCTCCCCAACTTGCCCCACCGGCGGGTAAGATGGGGTACTCGTAGGGGTAAGATGGGGTACTCAAGAAAGCAACCTATTTCTGTCGACAAATTTCACAAGTAAAGGTTGCATCTTCATGCATAACTGCAGTGAGCCCATTGGCCGCAGACAAAAAAAGCAGCCCAGCCTTCATTTGAGTCTAAATAATAACCATTACAATAGAGACAAGGTGTATTTTCCACTTTACCATCAGCATTGATGATTTAACCTGACAAGCTTTTTTCTTTTTAGTAAAACAGATAAAAGATTTGTTCTCATGACTTTTAGGTTTTGTAAACAAGAAACTATCGTCTCGGTGCAGTATTATGTAAAATATAATCGCGATTGGTTAATTCGTTTGTTAAATAAGGCCGGTACCCCGTCTTACCCGCTACCCCGCCTTGCCCCACTCTCCACTATAAACCAATAACTAAATAAAAAATTTATAAATAATAAGGGCATATTTCTAGAACTTTTAAACTTTATTTTTCCGTTTATTATTATATTTTAAAAATTATAAAAATAATTTTGCAGTAACATAATCTGATAAATTATTGTGCTTTTTAAATATACCTTGTGTATAATAATCATTTTAATTAGGTAGGGAACGACAAAAGTAAGTAAAAGTGACGAAATCGCCAGTTTCTCGTGTGTGACATTGACTGTATTTTTCAGTTTATATGGTATAACTTTTTTAACGAGTCATTATATATTTTGTGACTTATAGTAGATGTAGTGGGGACTATAAGGAACCAAAAAATCATTGAGACAATGAAGTGCCTCAATTAAGATAAAAATGGTGTACCTTCAAACTTGCGAGACAACTTTTCTTAAATTTTGACAATTTAGCAATTAACTTGATATAACTTTTTTAACGAAGATTTTTAAGTAACCATAAAACGGGGTTACATTGTCTACATAATAAGAAGTAATTTGAACCCTTACAGGAATATGTGCCACTTATACATTAGGAATGCAGTGACTTCAAAAGTTAAATTTAAAAACGAAACTCATAATAAAAACTCACATTTTTGAAGGGCACATGTTGAATTTGACTTCTAATCACTTTTAACTCATTGTAATCTCTTCTCGTACGTCATAAAAGTATACAGAAAAATCGTTAACCTCTACACTATTCCTAAAAAGAATTTATCTAAGAAAGAATATGAGCTTCTACTGTCATAATCTTTGCTTCATGGAAAAAGAAAGCATTAAACTCGCAAGTTTGCCTAAAATTTATTATTTATAGGTTTCTGGGGTCCTCTGATTACAAATCTAAAGTTATGTAGTTAAAAAAAATTTTAAATGGCAAATCCAAAATGGCGGACGAAATTTTAGAAAAATTATCAGATTTTAATATCGTTTGACATTTAAGAGTTTCCTGTTTTTCTGATTACGAATTTGAAATAATTTTTAAAAAATTTTAAATAGAAAATCCAATATGGTGGATACATTTCTGAAAAATCAAATCTTTTTGCATGATTTTTTTTAACTTCTCGTTGTTATATAATGATTTGAATGTAATTCAAGAATTGTTAAAAAAATTTTACTAGACTTTTATAGATAATAGGACTTAAAATTTTGGAAATTTTAACAGTATTAAAGAATTTTAAAGATAACAAGAATTAATCAATTTTACATTTCATTTTATTTTTACAAGCTTAATTTAATTCTAAATTATTCATTTAATTTATTTTTTAAATGTTATTCTGTTTTTAGAATTGTAAACTTCTTTTTTTTAAGTTTCCATGGTAATATTATTTTTAATGTGTCAAAATGTTTTGATTGCCGAATGTAGATATTGTGTATTTTATTTAAATAATATTAATTATGGATAAAGAAAGGGAAGTAAAACTTTCAATTAAACGTTATTCATTTTTTCTTCATACTGTTTGTACTTTTAATATAAAATAAAACTAGAAAATTTTTTAGAATATTAAAAAGTAGTAGAGCTATGGGGTTCCTGGACCACTTACCGACGGTCAGTAAGGTAGATTTCTTGGCTTAGAAGGGATGTTCTACTTTACCGGCCGAGTTTTTAGTACCGGCTGTCACCGCTAGATGGCGCCATTTTATTTTTTGTTCAATTTAAACCCCCTTAGTGGGGTATTTAAATTTTTATTTTTGAATTTTCAAGTGGGTTAGAAGGGGTGTTCTGTTTTACCTACATCTGGCTGCCACCGAGAGATGACGCCACCGGCAAATTTAAACCCCTTGGCGGGATATTTAAATTTTTATTTTGAAATTTCAAGTCGCTTGGTGGTGTATTTTGAATTTCCCACTTAATTTACCGACATTTTTATTTTTGGCTGCCACCGCTAGATGGCGCCACCGTTAAATTCTAAATCCTCTTGGTGGGAAATTTAAATATTATTATTTTTAAACTTTTAAGTGGGTTAAAGGGGTGTTCTGTTTTGCCAGCATCTGAATTCTGGCTGCCACCGAGAGATGTTGCCATTTTTTAATGTTAATATAATTATTGGAAAATTTTATTATTTACTAATTGATTAAGTGTTATTATTTGCAACGTTTTTTAGTATTTTATATTTTCCCGCCCAATTTACCAACCTTTTTTATTAGTTTTGTCTGCCTCTGCAAGATGGCATAACTAAATTCATCACTAATAAAATATAAATCAATTTATTTTTATATAATTAAATATATATATAAATTATTCATTCAATAAATTGTCAACATCTTGTATACAATTTTGACGTTATTTTATTGGCTTAGGGTTTTATTACCAACGGGGTGTGCCAATCAAAATTGTGCTGCCTTATAAGCTACTACAAATAGCAATGTTGGTAGAATAGAATGATACTAGGTTATGAAGTTGTAAAGTTGGTAGTAGTGATCTAGTGGCTTTGAATCTTGAGAGTCTTTGAAACGCAGACCTGTTAAAACGTGCTCGTGCAGGATTAATATTCAGGAAATATTAAGGAAAAGAGAAACATAAAATGGTAAGTTTATTTTGCAATTTCGTTAATAAAGAGTCAAGAAATGCACAAATTATAATGGTATAATATAAAAGTATCAATCTTAAGACTTTAACGATTTCTTTTGTGTTTCAGAATTTTTGTCCAAATCAACGAGATGGGAGATGTTGCTTTTGCAACTTTCTAAATTGCATTCGTCCTTTTGTAAGTAAAAAATATAATATATAATTTATAGATAACATAAAAATTACTGCAAGTATACATGCAAGTTTACATTGGAAGGAAACATAACCTAACCTAGCTTTTCAAATCATTTTTAATTCTTACAAGTTCTTGTAATTTTTTAGAACTTACTTACTTACTTTACTTACTTTACTTTCAATTTTTATTATTTTTACTATTTTACAACTAAGTGATAAAATCATTAATTACTTACACTGGTTTACAGTGAAATTGTCAATCGAACAAAACAATTTTTTTTCGAATAGTAAGTATTTTTTTAGTAAGAAAATCATAGTTTTAATTTTTTCCCCTTGTGCAGTTTTTCTGTAGCTTCAAATTTTGCATTTTCGAGGTGCAACGCCACTTAAACTTACCTGTAGAAAAATTAGCTTGTCAAAACATAATAAATGAGGTATCATTGGAAAGGTTATTAAATTACCTTTCGATCCACAGGTCACAGAATGAAATTCAACAAAAATTGAGAGAGTTACAGTCGATTAAAGATGAAATTTCATGACAATTTTGATGATCTTTAGACATTTGAGTACCTTCTACTATTTTTTTCTACATCAAACAGGAAAGAATGTTTAGGTTTTAATTTTTTTATTGATAGACTATATCATTACAAAAATTTTGAGCCCTTGTGGACCTCGATTGGATTAAAAATGACAATTCTACACTAAATTTAGTGAACAAAACTACATTCTTCATTTTTAGTATCCCTTAAACATTTGCAGCAAAAATTGAAGTAATAAAATTTAGTTAAGCTCTAAAGTTACTAAAATCACTAATAAAGGATTTCTGAAATCGTAGATTTCGAATCCAATGTTAGTTTTCTAAATTTCAAAATGGCGGATCCAATATGGCGGACAAGTTTTTAAAAATCGATTACATTCGTCTTAAATTCGTTACTCGGGGGTTTTCGGGGTCGCTGATTACGAATCTGATGTCAGATTTCAAAAATTAAAAATGGCGGATCCAATAGGTGCGAATTTGATGGATTTTAAAAAACTCGTTCACCATTATGAATCCATCCTTTTCAATTTTCGAAATCTGACATCAGATTCGTAATCAGCGACCCCGAAAACCCCCGAGTAACGAATTTAAGACGAATGTAATCGATTTTTAAAAACTTGTCCGCCATATTGGATCCGCCATTTTGAAATTTAGAAAACTAACATTGGATTCGAAATCTACGATTTCAGAAATCCTTTATTAGTGATTTTAGTAACTTTAGAGCTTAACTAAATTTTATTACTTGAATTTTTGCTGCAAATGTTTAAGGGATACTAAAAATGAAGAATGTAGTTTCGTTCAGTAAATTTAGTGTAGAATTGTCATTTTTTATCCAATCGAGGTCCACAAGGGCTCAAAATTTTTGTAATGATATAGTCTATCAATAAAAAAATTAAAACCTAAACATTCTTTCCTGTTTGATGTAGAAAAAAATAGTAGAAGTTACTCAAATGTCTAAAAATCATCAAAATTGTCATGAAATTTCATCTTTAATCGACTGTAACTCTCTCAATTTTTGTTGAATTTTATTCTGTGACCTATGGATCGAAAGGTAATTAAATAACCTTTCCAATGATACCTCATTTATTATATTTTGACAAGCTAATTTTCCTACAGGTAAGTTTAAGTGGCTTCGCACCTCGAAAATGGAAAATTTGAAGCTACAGAAAAACTGCACGAGGGAAAAAAATTAAAACTATGATTTTCTTACTCAAAAAACACCTACTATTCGAAAAAAATTGTTTTGTTCGATTGGCAAAAAAAAGTTTTTAATTTGTAAACCTGTGTTATATATATTTTATACTTTACAGTTTAACAATATTTTAACAATATTGCATACTGTACAAAATATATACATTTTTTTGTTTATTAATTATAGAATTTAGAAAACCATAAATGTTTTAATGAAATAAAGGATCTTAATTTTGTTTGATCTAATGGATTTGTTTTTTTTTGTTTTTTTTAGCTACACCCAGGATTTAATTATTGGCCTGGAATGCAATTCAATTATCCCAATCCCCAACAACCGAATCAAATGCCAATTATTAATCATGGTTATAATCAACCACGTCCTGACACTGGAAATTACCAGAGAAATGCACGACCTGATAATAATAGTTTTGGAAACTACCAGAGGAATTCACGACCTAATATTAATTCCGGAAATCACCATCCGAATACTCAACCTGAAATTAATTCTGGACATCACCAAGTAAATGCAAGACCTATTATTAATTCCGGAATTCACCAGTTGAATCCACGACTTGTTATTAATTCTACAAACCACCAGCTGAATGAAAGACCAGTTATTAATACCGCAACCACCATCCAAGTACACAACAATTGAATACACAACCTGTTATGAATCCTGAAAATCATCTACCAAATGCACAGCCAGTTGTAAATGTAAGAAAACAGCAAGATGTGACTATTTAAACTGATTGAAGAATTAATGACAGCTTTTTAATTTGAATTATGATTTAAATAATATTCATTGAGAATTTAAAATATAACAATTGTTTACATTATAATTTAATTTGTTTTTTAAAATTTATTGTGAATTTGAAATATAACAACTTTTACATTATAATTTAATTTGATTTTTTTAAATGTGTTTCAACTAAAATAATTTTTTATTAATACAATTTTGAGTAAAAAATTAATTTGAAATCTATTTTTATAGAGAAAAAGGTAATTTCCATTTATTGTAAATTTAAAATATAGCAATTTTTACATTATAATTTAATTTGATTTTTTTAAATGTGTTTCAACTAAAATAATTTTTTATTAATACAATTTTAAGTAAAAAATTAATTTGAAATCAATTTTTATAGAGACAAAAGGCAACGAGGTGGGAATCAATTCCAGTTGAGACATACTCTCCAATGGTTAACAATTCTGTAAAAGGAAACCAGCAGTCGAATGCTTAACCAGTTATTAATTCTGGAAACCAGCAGCTGAATTCTAAACCAGTTATTAATTCTGGAAACCACCAGTCGAATGCTCAACCAGTTCTTAATTCTGGAAACCATCATCCCAGTACACGTCCAGTTATTAATTCCGGAATTCAGCCGCCGAGTACACGTCCAGTTATTAATTCCGGAATTCAGCCGCCGAATGCTGGATCTGTAATTAATTCAGGAAATCAGTCACCAAATGCTCAATCTGTTACTAATTCTGGAAATCAGCCACCAAGTATATTAAATACGCTACCTGTTATTTATTCCGGAAACCACCAGCTGAATGAAGGACTTTGTTATTAATTCTGAAAATCACCTACTGAATGCACAGTTAGTTAAGAATGCAGAAATACAGGAAGAAGTAAGTATTTTAACTTAAAGGTGGAAAAAAATTAACACAATTTTTCCAAATCAATTGTTAACTTCTTTCTACATTTAATATCAATTACCGAATGATAAATTCACTTCCTTTAATTATTTAAACTTAACTTTCTATTGCTGATTGAAGAATTTGTGACAGCTTTTTAATTTTTTTTCAATTAATTAAACTTTAATCTTATCTTTCCATTTGTTGTGAATGTAAAATAACAAATGTTTACATTAGAATTTAATTTATCTTTAAAAAGAAATGTGTTTTAACAAAGTTTTTTTTTATAAATTTGAAGCAAAAATTAACTTGAAATCAATTTTTATAGGTAAAAAGGAAAAGTGGATCTTCTCATCAAAAGATAATTAGTCGTGAACCAATTCCATATGAGCCATCCTCTCTAAAGATGATTTGCAAGAAACAGACTATATTCCAACACTTATTGACAAAAAGCGCGGAGCAGCAAGAAAAATTGGTGAAAAATTACTTTTACCACCTTCATCTGACGAATCAACTTCTTCTAGCTCATCATCTTCTTCTAGTCCATCATCTTCTTCGAGCTCCTCAGTAAACTCAACCGCAAAGCCATCATTGAAATTAGATGATTTAACTCCACTTAATTTGTCTACTTCAGACTGTAATAATCACTGAAATCACCGTCATCAAATGAGCTTGCTTTAGCAATAGCTTCAATTTCAAAGCCAAAACCAAAATCCAAGACGATAATAGTTAATGATGAAGATTGCTGTTTTGCAAAAAAAAAATTACTCAGGGCATGAAAGTTCAAACAGGAACCAAAAGAAAAAGGTCTACGGATGACAAAACAAACCCTAAAAGAAATAAAAAATAAGTTGTAGTTTGGACATTTCGAAATTTGCGTTAATTGTTGTTTAAACGTAAACATTTTTATGCAAGTGCAATTTTTCTTTTATTTTAATATTCAGAATTTCTTTTTGTTTTATTTGAAAATTCTGAATTTCGTATTGTGCACATTATTCACATTGAAAGTTTTGAAAGTGTAGCGTTTCCTTTCAGTTAAGAGTTTTTTTTCATCGATTATTTTTGTTTTATTTTAATATTCAGAATTTCTTTTTGTTTTATTTGAAAATTCTGAATTTCGTATTGTGTACATTATTCACATTGAAGGTTTTGAAAGTGTAGCGTTTCCTTTCAGTTAAGAGCTTTTTTTATATTAAGAATTTTGTTTTGAATAATTTTTTCATTTAAGTCTTATTTTCATACTATAAAAAAACCTTTGTAAAATTTAATTGTATAGGAGAAATGTTTTTGTAATGTGAAACGAATGTATTTTTTACCTTTATAGATATAAATAGTTTTATAATTAAAATAATTTATTAGAACCACCATTTTTTCTAATAAATTGTGTTCATTAATTATAAAAATAAAAGAAAAAAGATAAATAAAAAAATTATTTTTATGTACATTGTGACTTTAAAAATTCGCGCGCTTATAAACTTGTGTAAACTACCGTAAGGAGAGTTGCTGTTCAGTGAAGTGGTGGAGGGGATAAGAGCTATAGAAGGTAATTCCTCCGCTAAGGAGATCATTTCTCTTTTAGCACTAGTAGTAGTAAGATGTACGAAACTTCTTTTACTCTTTCAGCTATCTTCTTAGGTCATTTCTTTGCATGTTTTCTCTTTGCTTTACCTAGGATCTTTAGAAAAGTTTTTTTTCTTATTATTGATTTTATTTTTAGAGTAAAATGGAAAACAAAGATTCTACATTACTTAACAGTAAACCAGACAGCGTGACTGATGGGTTTATAGAATTAAATGTAGACAGTGATGACAGTACAGTTGTTTTTGAAGGTTATGAAAATCTTAATGATCATGGTGATGACGATGATGAAGATGATGTTCTCATCATCAACATTGGTGAAAATGAAATGAATTTTTATTTGAGGAAATTAAATTTAAAAAATTAAAATATTTTTATTATGAAAATAATCCTTTTTTTAGGTTATAGAGTTAATAAATTGCGTCCCTGATATTAACTTCATGCTGGATGCGCGAGAGGCTTTCTTTTGTTAGGCTTTGTTAGGCTTTCAAATGTTAACACCACCACCCGAAACTGAGGAAATTTACAATTATGACGACTCTCCTGAACGTCCAGAGACACCACCTGCGCAACTAACACCTGAATCATCACCGGAATCACGTCGCGCGATACGTGAAAATCGAGAAAGATCCCGATCTCCTATTCGACGAATTAACGATGTGATTTTCAAAAAATATTAGCTTTTGTTATTAATGAAGCTCAGTTTTTATAGTATTTTATGTAATAAAATGTAATAAATTAAAAAATAGGATGTAATAAAAGAATACTTTTTTAAATATGTACAATTTGCATTTTTAATATTAGTTTTTGAGGTGTGCGTCTATCATAATTAAGTAAGGTTGAAAGAGTGAGATTGCGTGCACATGTCGAGGGTGTATCTACAACTGCGTGCGCATTATACTGTGTGGTGGGGTTGGAGAAAAAGTGGGGATACTAGTGATATAAGGCAACTCCTTAGCCACTAGAGTCATTCTTTCTTTAGGTTTCCAGGTCACAGTAGGTACAGACTTCTCTTTCTTTACAGCTATTTTTTATATTATAGTTTATTTTTTAGCATTACTTATAATAAATTTTGCATAAAATGTTTCGCGCGCATGTCGAGGGTGGGTCAATAAGTGCGTGCGCATTATACTGTGTGGTGAGGTTGGAGAAAAAGTGGGGATACTAGAGATATAAGGCAACTCCTTAGCCACTAGAGTCATTCTTTCTTTAGGTTTCCAGGTCACAGTAGGTACATACTTCTCTTTCTTTACAACTATTTTTTATATTATAGTTTATTTTTCAGCATTACTTATAATAAATTTTGCATAAAATGTTTTGTGCGCATGTCGAGGGTGGGTCAATAAGTGCGTGCGCATTATACTGTGTGGTGAGGTTGGAGAAAAAGTGGGGATACTAGAGATATAAGGCAACTCCTTAGCCACTAGAGTCATTCTTTCTTTAGGTTTCCAGGTCACAGTAGGTACAGACTTCTCTTTCTTTACAGATATTTTTTATATTATAGTTTATTTTTCAGCATTACTTATTTTGCATAAAATGTTTCGTGCGCATGTCGAGGGTGGGTCAATAAATGCGTGCACATTATACTGTGTGTGGTTGTGGTGGAGAAAAAGTGGGGATACTAGAGATATAAGTCAACTCCTTAGCCACTAGAGTCATTCTTTCTTTAGGTTTCCAGGTCACAGTAGGTACAGACTTCTCTTTCTTTACAGCTATTTTTTATATTATAGTTTATTTTTCAGCATCTGTTACATCCCAGATACATTTTTCTTTTAATTATAAAGGAATATCTGTAATGTAACTTCACTATCTTATTTTCAAAACATAATACCCTTGTTAAAAAGCGTAAAAATACAATAAATGAGATAGAAGTTATAATTGAAATTCTATACTTCGTCCTACATATTAGAATAATGATTAAAAAAACAAAACCAGAGATAGAAATTGACAAAAATAGGAAACAATGCGTTGAGTCAAAGAGTAACTCACGTAAGCTCGAGCGCGCTTGCTATGACCTACTTTTGTAACCCGAGCTGCGTGAATCACTGCTTGTAACTCTAGCTTCACTTTTTCCACAATTGAAGTAAGAATTCAGGTCAATTTTCGAAGAACTGCACTTTTAATAAATCATTAGTATATAAGCCAAAGCTCTTTTAATAAAAATTGTCAAAAGTTCCGGTGCGGTTTTATAGACCAGTAGTCATTGTAGAGCGACCCTTCAGTTTTTCATTATTTATTGTATTCTTTCTTTAATCGGCAACTGCAGTTCGAGTTGTACTCGGTTATTCTGCAAGTCAATTTTGTTATTCACTTAGAAACAAGTTTCTTTCCGTAAAAGGTGCAAAAAAAGCAATTTGGCACTTAGAATCAATAATTTGAATGTATTAACTGTCGTATTTTGCGTGTCAAGTTTCATTAATTGTAGTTTTTCACCAATTCTTTCTTTAATTGGCAATTGCAGACCGAATTGTACTCAATTATTGTGCAAGTTGCTTTTCTCACACTTAGAAACAAGTTTCTTTCCATAAATAGGTGCTAGTGACGATAAGTAACACTTAGAAACGGTACTAACTTTTGAAACGAACGCAAAAACCCTAAAGTTGTGAAAGTTACATAAGTGTAACATAACAAACTTTCTCAGTTTCATTCAATTGAAACAACGTTCTGAAAACCAAACTTATTCGACCAGCGCTATTGCCTAGTTCTGCGACTGTTCTGTAAATAAAAAGTAAGTAACATTTGTGTAATTATTGTAACTGTACATTTAAATAACTAATAAATTGTTAAAAGGGAATATTTATTGTTGTTGTAACTCAAAACCCGTAGTTTTGACAAGTACAAACGATCCTACTTAAAAATAAAGGTCAAGCTTTACCAACTTGACCATAATCAGCCTACTATTCCTCCAAAATTCTATAATATTTCCTATTATAAAGTATTAAATTCAAAATTTCAAAATTTTAGGAGTGTTAATTAATAATTCAAATTATTCTTTCTTTAACCGGCAATTGCAGTTCGAGTTGTACTCGGTAATTGTGCAAGTTGTTAAGTTTTAACACTTAGGATTGTTGATTCCTGCTCGCGGCTCGGAGTTATACGAAACACTATTCTTTCCTTCTACAAGGTGCAAGTTAAACACTCACAACACTTATTATAGAAAAATTAAACTGACACTCTAACAACAATTTTTGTTTATAATTTAAAAACCAATTATTAAAATCTTACAAAATCCTATAATTTAAGCTGTTTTTGCGCCGTCCGGCGAATTTCAGCTTGAATTAAGAATAGTTCGCGCCGTCCGGCGGAACCGTTCTAGCAAAGATTTCATTTTACTAATTAAGATAAACTGTGATATTATTGCGCCGTCCGGCGAACCTGTCATTTTATCATATTCCTTCATAATTCATAAATATTCCTCAATAATTAAAAGTTGTTTTTGAATATTTAAAATCTTAATAGATAAATTTTATCAAAATTTTAAAATCACAAAATGCCTTTTTGCAGTTAAAAAATTATGTGTGATAAAATTCTGACATCAAAGAAAATTAAAAATCGAGGAGAAATAAAAGCTCAAAGAAGATTTAATATCGAAACTTCTTTAGAATCTAAAAAATTTGTAGACAACTTTCATTTGAAAAATATAATTAAAGAAATTAAAACTCAAGAAGAATTTTCCAACTTCTTCGAAAACTTGTTAAATAAAACTGAGCAGATTATTATTAAATAATTTTAATAAAACATTTAATGAGTAATTATTTTGCAAATCTTGACTATAATCAACACAATTATCCCTACGTCGAATTAATATCGGGTCATTTTAATTCACATAGAGGTAACTTTTTAATAGATCATACATTATCAGTAAATTCGATTCAACAATCTGCATTAGTATCATTCATTTTGATTGAACGCATTAATTCAATTATATCTCGACAAGGTGCTATTCGTACTATTGGGAGTGCAACAAAAAAATTTAGCGATTTTTCTTTAAGATTTGAAGTTGACGCTTCTCATTGTGAATCAGAAATTATCGGTATATTAAGAGCACCATTTCTGGATCAAATTTTTGAAACTAGATATTTTGAAAGAATTGCAATCATTTACGAAAGAGAAATCTGGAGACGTGAATTATCAATTCAGAGACGAATAAGGGGTCGTGTAGCTAATTTCTTAAGACATAATTTGCTCAGAGGATCTTCTATTTTTCATAGAATTTCCTCATGAGTGAACATATTAACAACATTT